AGAGGAGTGGTTCCCCTGCTGTAGGCTTTGCTGTAGCTTCTGCTGCTTGCTCTGCAGCAAGCCCAAGAGAGAGGTGAGGTCCACAGACAGCTTCTGCAGAGGGAAGGCAGGCTGGAGTAGCAGTGGGTCTTCTACCTGCACCTGGGTCCTAAACCACTTCTGTCTTAAATCATTAGCCTCTCTACCATGGAGGACACAAGGCCCCGACCTAGCATTCTGTTTCCCTTTCCAAAGCCAGGGGCCCAAGTCCCCGCTTTTTCAGCTCCTAGTCCCCTATAAAGGTGGTTCCAGACTAGAGAACCCAGCAGCCCATTTCCAGTGGCCTCCTGGAGCCCATGAGTAACTCTTACCCCTCACTGGCCTCACCTTACCACTCCCCCTTCCTGCCTAGAAACCTGGCTTCCTTCCAAACTGCTGCCCATCTGGGCTCATCTCTAGCTCTTCTCACTTTTCAGTTTTCTGATACATGGTGAGCCAGCCTCACCCCAGTCTGCCAGGTCCAGATGTGACCTTCTACCTTTAGAAGTAATCACTTCTATCAACACAGCAGCACTGCAATCTTTTAAAAGCCCAGATTCTGCCCCCTGGAAAGACGACTGTCAGAACCCTGATGTGATGTCTATTCCATCTGGGGCACTGATTCTTGGGCGGCTGCCTTACCTCATGATTGACTGTCCTGAAGAGAGTGTTCAGCAGCTCCAAGGTGGACAGCTCCCTCTGGTGCTCCCCCTTGCTCTGCGCCTCTCCAAGTGTCTGCAGGGTCTATGGAGGAAGGCCAACACTGAGGCACTTCTGAGAACTGCCGAAGGCCTTTCCACATCCCTCATAGCAGTGGCCCAGAGGGAGGAAATGTTTCTGGGGACTAGCTAGTTTGCACAACCCACTCTGGAACCTCAAGTTCCAAGAAACCTGGGGTGAGTTCATGGTGGGAGCTTCACAGCTGTTACCTGGGCAACCTTTGCCAAGACCTGGCCAATCAGCTGCTCCCACTCAGGATCCTCAAAACATACTCTCAGCTCCCGTGCAGACAGGGTCTTCTGGAGCAGCAGGCACGCC